CAAGTGGTAGAGCGCTAGCCTTGAGCTGAAGAGCTGAGGGACAGTGCCCAGGCCCAGAATTCAGGCCCCATGACCGGACCCCTCACCCCCGCAAAAAAACAACTTTCCTCTCAACACTGCTTTTGCAGTATCTTAGAGGTTCCAGTATGATGTGTTTTTATTTTCATTGAATTGTAAGGAATTTCTGATTTCCTCCTTTATTTCTTTGGTGACTCATATGTTGTTCAGCAATGCATTATTCAGTCTCCATGTGTTGAGTGTTTTCTGCAGTATGTTTTGTTGTTGAGAACTAGTTTGGGTCATTGTGGTTAGATAGGATACAAGAAGTTATCATGATCCATTTGTATTTGCTCAGACTTGTTGTGTGTCCTAGGATATGGTCAAGTTTGGAGAATGTTCCATGGGCTGCTGAGAAGAATGAATTGTGTGGTTGTTGGGTGAAATACTTTGTAGATGTCTGTTAAGTCTTTTTGGGGTCATTTAATTCAGAAGCTTCTTTTCTTTGGTTGATCTGTCTTTTGGTGATAGTAGAGTGTTAAAGTCTCCCATATTTTTTTTGTTTTTGTCGGTCGTGGGGCTTTACCTCTGGGCCTGGGCACTGTCCTTCAGCTCTTCAGCTCAAGGCTAGCTCTCTACCACTTGAGCCACAATGCCACTTCTGGTTTTCTGGTGGTTTATTGGTGTTAAGAGTCTTACGGACATTCCTGCTTGGGGTGGCTTTGAACTGTAATCCTCAGATCTCAGCCTCCTGAGTAGCTAGGATTATAGAAGTGAGCCACTGGTGCCCAGTGTCTCCCACTATTTTTGTGTTGGGTTGATCATGTTCTACAAGTCTAAGAGTATTTGTTTAATGTATTTAGTTGCTCCACTGTTTAGTGCATAAATAATAAACACTGTGATTTCCTCTTTGTGGATCATTCCCTTTATTACTATGTAATGACCTTCCTTGTCTCTTTATGCTGATTTTAATGAGAAGTATATTTTATCAGATAACAGTATGGCATCCCGCCTTCTTGCAGGATGCATTTACATGAAAGATCTTTTTCCATCCCTTCACTTGGAATTTGTGTTTATCTGTGACTATAAGAGGAGTTTTTTAGGGACAACAAGTTGTTGGATTTTGTGTTTTGATCCAATCTGCTATTCTACATCTTTTGGTTGGGGAGTTGAACCTGCTGATGTTTAATGTTACAATAGAGAAATGTGTTGTGTTTCCTGCCACTTTTTTTCCTATAGCTTGTTTCTTTCCTCTTGTGTTTACTAAACTAATTGATTTGTATTCAATGCTGTGTTTCCTTGACTTTTGATTGTTTTCTTCAAATGTATGTATGCTCTGCTTTAGCATCCTTTGTAATGCTGGTTTAGTGTTCATGAATTCCTTTATTTTTTATTTGTTGTGAAAGGCTTTAGCTTGCCATCGATTGGGAATATTAGTTTCACTGGGTATACTGGTTTGAGTTGGCAATTGTCATTCAGAGCTTGAATTATACCACTTCAGGCTCTTCTTGAATTTAGTTGGTGTGGAGAAATCTACAGGAATTCTAACCTTTCTGTTGTAATAAAGTTCCCTCTTTGATTTTTCTGCATTTAAAATTAATTCCTTGCTTTTCTATTCAATTTTTATTGTTATTATAAAGGTGATGTACAAGGGGTTACAGTTACATAAGTCAGGTAAAGAGTACATTTCCTTTCAGACACTGTCACCCCCTTCCCTCACTCTCCCCAAGATTTTTCCCTCCTATCCCCTAATTCCTTGTTTTTTAAGTCAAAGTTTTCACAACAATGTGTCTAAAATTATTACTTTTCAGACCTTGTCTGCTAGGAGTTCTATGTGCCTCTGTCAGGTGGGTGAGATTCTCTTTCTTGAGACTGAGGAAGTTTTCTGTTATTATTTTCTTAAATAGGTTCTCAGTGCCTTTAGTTTTTATTTCTTCTCCTTCATTTATCCCAATTATACATAGATTCATTCTTTTGTTCGGATTTGCCAATTCTTGGATGTCGTTTGGTATGTTTTGAATGGTTTTTTCCATGTCTTTGATTTTTTTTATTGTGAAAATATGTCTTTGATTTTTTGTTCTAATTCCTCTGCTTTATCCTCAACTCTTGATACTCCTGTTTTCTACTTCATTTATTCTATTGCCTGTGCTTTTAAGTGTGCTTTGCAATAGGGATATAGAGTCTTTTCTGTTTCCTAGCTCTGACATCAACAGAGTGCTAATTTCACCTTTCATTTCCTTCATGTTATATGCTTTCCTTTTCTTCATCATTTCCTCTCTGCATTCTTATATTTGTTTTTGGATCTATTCTTTTATTTCATCTGCCAATTCTCTCATTATTGCTTTAATGGTTCCTTTGTTCTCCCCCCCTTCTTCGTTGCTCTCACTAGAGTCCTTCCCTGAGTTGTTGGTTTTTTGTTTTTGTTTTTTTTTCTTGGTTGTGGGGCTAACTCTGGGCCTGGGCACTGTCCCTCAGCTCTTCAGCTCAAGGCTAGCAAGCACCCTTCCACTTGAGCCACAGTCCCACTTCCGGCTTTTTTATGCTTATATGGTGCTGAGGAATTGAACCCAGGGCCTCATGCATATGAAGCAAGCACTGTACCACTGAGCCAACTTCCCAGCCCCTGAGTTGTTGGGTTTTGAGAATGGCATGTTGTCTTAATTGTTCATGAATTTCATAATCTTTTGCTGTGATTTATTAATGGTGTTTGGTGTTTGTGTGGTCCTGGGTTTTGCCAGTGTAATAGTTTTCTCTGTTGTAGTGCAGATGCAGTCTTGCCAGGCTGGCTGCTCCAAATGGAGATCTGTGTTGAATGGAGATTGCTTGAGCAGTGGGCTGCTCCAAGCAGAGATCTGCACCAATCTGTGAGCTGTTCATTGCAGCAGTTCCCAAAGTGGAGGTTATTGTTATTATAAAGGTGATGTACAAAGGGGACACATTTACATAAGTCAGGTAAAGAGCACTGAAGGTGGTTTTGTTCTGAGTGGGGTTCTTTACTGTGTAGATGGCTGCACAGTCTACACAGAACTGTAGGCTGTGATGGGACCTGGTTATGTGTACTTATCTTCCTGAGTTATAAGTTTTGATGTTTTCTGAATTGCACTAGGCTCTGACTGCTTGCTTTTCCCTGGCATCCACTCTTCAGCATTATTTCTAGGTTAGCATTTTATATTTCTTGCTGAGAAAACAGAGCTCTGGTATTACCTTCTCTCTAGTCTTCTATCTTGCATCTGGAATCCTGTGTGATATTCTATCAGTATTCTTGCATATGGCACTGAACATCCCAGACAGCCTTGTACTATTGAGCACAAACAATGGATATTCTAATGTCTTTCTAAGCTGTGGTGTTTGGCAGGTTATGTGTATTAAATACATACCCACAATGTGATAGTATTTATCTATATGAAAGGATGAAATTCTGTCACTTTTAACAAGATGGATTAACCTAGGTAAAATGAACCTAGTACAGAAAGATAAATACCCATAAACTCATTCATCTGTGGTACCCTAAAAGACTGATCTGTTACAAGTAGAGACTATTGCCAGGCTCCAGCGCTCATGACTATAATCTTAGCTACTAAAGAGGTTGAGATTTGAGAATTGAGGTTCAATGCCAACTGGCCATACAAACTTGAGAGACTCTTATCTCTAGCCAGCAATAAGAAAGTTGTATGGTTCTAATGGTAGAACATCAGTCATGAGTGAAAAAGCTGAGCAAGAAAGAGACCCTGAGTTTAAGCCTCAATACCAACATAACACAGACAAAAGGATTAGAGAGTATGGTGCTGCTTACCAGATGATGGTGAGTTTTAAAGAAATGATATGAGATAGGCTGATTTCAGTCAAAGTACACATGATGACAGTAAGATAGGAGAAATAAATTTCGAGAGATCTATTGTATAGTGATACACTGTATTTGTTAGAAATATAGAGAATGGATCTCTATACTCTCACCACAAAAAGGATTTGTGAATAATGCATTTGTTAATTATCTAGCTGAAACCATTCTATTATGCACTTACATGTAATTGCATATATGCATATATTGAAAGGTAAAATTATATATATGCAAATGGCAAAATATATATTCCAAAACATATTGTGTTGACAAAAACATACAATATATTTTTCAATTAAAAAGAGAATTATGAGGGCTGGGAAGGTGGCTCAGTGGTAGAGCGCTTGCCTTGCATGCTCGAGGCCCTGGGTTCGATTCCTCAGTACCACATAAGCAAAAAAAAAAGAAAAAAACCGGAAGTGGCGCTCTGGCTCAAGTGGTAGAGTGCTAGCCTTGAGCTGAAGAGCTGTGGGACAGCGCCAGGCCCAGAGTTCAGGCCCCACGACCGGACCAAAAAAAAAAAAAGAGAATTATGAGACACATACAATGCATTTTCCAACTAAAAGGAGAATTATAAGCCAGTGCCAGTGGCTCATGCTTATACTCTTAGTTACTTAAGAGGCTGAGAGCTGACAATTGCTATTTTGAAGAAAGCCTGGGAAGGAAAGTCCATGAGATTCTTATATCCAATTAACCACTCCAAACAATGCTGGAAGTGGAGCTGTTGCTCAAGTGGTAGAGCACTAGCTTTGAGAAAAAAAAGTCAGGCATAGTGCCCAGGCCTTGAGTTCAAGCCCTAGAACCTGCGCACACAACAAAGTGAATTATGGTGGAGGGGGCAAAGTTGCTCAGAGTACACTCTGTGCATGCATGGAAATACTACAATAAAACCCCTCACACTACAAATGTGTGTAAAGTCAAAACATTTGAAAAATGAGTTAAACATAAGGAATAAAATTCTATGGAGGAACTTTTATGAAATAGATTCAAGGAGGAAAGTAAGGCAATGGATAATGATAGGCATCCAAATCTTTTAGCATATTGCACTTTTGGATATCAATACAGACATATATACGTATGTATGTATATACATATGTATTTACATATATATGTCAAGTTAAGTCTTTCCTCTGCCTCATAACCAGCTGCTATCCATCCTGCTCACCTCCATGGTTAGTGTTTCTCTATAATTCTTCATTCCATTTATGCGGGCAGCTCTCCACAGCTCCTTTAAGGCTTCCTGGGGTTTGTTGGTGATAATCAGCCACCGAGCAGACTCGGTCAGACACCTGACCAAAGACGATGATGGAAATGTAGTCAATTCTCACACACTCACTTCCAGTCCCCCTTTAACCCTCAGATTCCTTTTGCCTTTATGTTATTACTTACAAATTTAATCAGTTGTAAGGACGTGAGAAATATTTATTCATAATTTGATCTTTTTTTCTTAAAATAAAGATCCTCAACTTATTTTTTCCCCTAAGTGTCTCATATGGGTTTGAAACCACTCCTGAGCCTAGCAGCGGTGATGGCTTCTGGCCACACAGTCAAGTTAAATATGCCTCAGGTTCAATGAGGGCAAAGAAATACAAAGTTCATAGATGTGTTACATTAGTTTAAACTAAGGAGTACTTGCTGTTTGGACTTTTCTCCCTATACTAATTTAGTCTGTAATCACTTCTGAGGGTCATTCCTAACTCAACAGGCCTTCTGTCCCAAACCAACATCATGGTTTATAAGCCTTAAGTCTTATTTGTTTATTTATAATGCTGGTTCTGGGGCTGAACTGAGGGCTTGGACACTGTCCGAGAGCTTTTTTTCTCAAGGCGAACAATCTACCACTGAGCCATAGTTCTACTTCAGGCCTTTCGGTGGTTAACTGGAGATGAGAATCTCACAGACTTTCCTCTTAGAGCTGGCTTTAAATTGCAATCTTCAGGTCTCAGCCTCCTGAGGTGCTAGGATTATAGGCAGGAGCAAGTTACACCCAGGTACACAGGAGAAGATATGTTATCAGACGTCTCTCATCCCAAGATCCCTTAAGAAAGAGGAAGAAAGCTCATACCTTGTGAATAGAAGTAAGAAAAAGATGGGTATAGACAGCACCAGCTGAAGGATCTGCCAATTTTGAACAAAATAAGCCAGGCTTCCCAATAATATTTGTGCTAAACCAGCAGAACAGAATGAAAGGGTCACCATCATGGCTTGGAATTTGGGTCTTGTCCATTCTACAACTGAAAGACAACACAAACTGAATATTCATCTCAAACCAAGGTAGAGCATTAAGTTTACATTCAAGGCGGGGAAAATGCACATGGTGGGAAGACGTACTTACGGAGCATGGAGCTGTTCGTCAGGATGCCTGTGGTGGACATACCAGCCAGGAAGCGCAGGACACAGTAAAGGAGGAAGGTGGGAGCAAAGGCTGCGCATGTGTCAGCAACGGCCAGCTTCAGCAAACAGCTGATGATAATTAGCCTCCTTCCAAACCTGAGGAAAAGACAAAGCTTAGATGGTGGGAACTGGAACAGCTATTGCACAAAGAAACAAAAGAGAATTATTTTAAAACTATAAATAATCAGAAACCAACAGCAGATATTTCAAAAGCCATGCTTCTTGTTTGTAAACCTGACCTGTGTATACTACAGGTAACCATTTCAAACCATGAAAGATGAGTTATAATTCTGGAACTTTTAGTACCTTTAATACAATTATTTAAATGCATAGATTTAGCCTAACAGAGAGTCTACACAATATAGAAAGTATCAAGTCAGGTGACAGTGGCTCACATGTGTAATCCTAGTTACTCAGGAGGCTGAGATCTGAGGATCATGGTTTGAAGTCAGCCAGGGCCGAAAAGTCCTCATGAAACTCTTATATCCAATAAATCACTAAAAAACCAGAAATGGAATGTGGCTCAAAGTGGTAGAACACTAGCCTTGAATAAGAGAGCTCAGTGATAGCACCCAGGCCCTGAGTTCAAGCTCCACAATGGAGCAAAAACAAAATTATCAAAATCAAATGTTGAGGCTGTACATTTCTTTTCTTTTGTCGTGGGGCTTGATCTCTGGGCCTGGGCGCTGTCCCTCAGCTCTTCAGCTCAAGACTAGTGCTCTACCACTTGAGCTACAGTGCCACTTCTGATTTTCTGGTGGTTTATTGGAGATAAGAGTTTCATGGACTTTCCTGCCTGGGCTGGCTTTGAACTGCAATCCTCAGATCTCAGCCTCCTGAGTAGCTAGGATGACAGGTGTGAGCCACTGGTGCCCGGCGAGGCTGTACATTTCTTGATTATAGCAATGGGAACACTGGGGAAACAACATGTGGAATTTGCTGATATGTAGTGTAAGAACTATTTGCTGCTGAATTTAGATGTGTTGGTGGTCTTGGCCAGCATGCTACTTTCAAGTACAGGATGTAAGAAAGCCCTAGTTTAAATAGAACTTATAGAAAGTTCTCAGTGGAAAGAGCCAAGGAAGATGGGGGATGAAAGAATACAAAAGGAAAAGACCTAAAAAAAATAAAATAAAAAACAGAAAAATGGAGTTCCGATTTCTGCAAGACTTCTGTACCAGATTCTACACCTTTTTGTTTCTTGTGGCAGCAATTGGTAGTAATCTGATTGATCAATTATAAAAGGAGGCTCAGCCACATTGTAAAGGAGTCCAGTGATAAGCACCAGACAGCAGTTCTACATTTGATTCTCAAGTACAAATATAGAAACAAATATATATCCTAAACACATAGTGGTACTGGGCACTGGTGGCTCACACCTATAATCCTGGCTCCTCAGGAGGCTGAAATCTGAGGATCACAGTGCAAAGCCAGCCTGGGCAGAAAATCCCCTGTAAGACTCTTATCTCCAATTAATTACCAGAAAACCTGAAGTGGCACTGTGGCTCGAAGTGGTAGAGTGCTAGAGTGAAAAAAACTCAGGGACAGTGCCCAGGCCCTGAGTTCAAGCCCCATGAACAACAAAAAAGTTATTTAGTCTTCAAAAAGTGATTAATTTTTTTTAAAAAAGGAACTTCAGGCATTCAAAGAATCACGGGTCAAGAGCTTTCTCTTGTGCATCTGCCACTGTCTATTTTTTATTTTTCCTGTCAGTCATGGGGCTTGAACTCAGGGCTTGGGTACTGTCCCTGAGCTCTTTTGCTCAAGGCTAGCTCTCAAACACTTTGAGGCACAGCTCCACTTCTGGTTTTTCTGGTGGTTAATGGGAGATAATAGTTTCATGGTCTTTCCTGCCTGGGCTGGCATCGAACTGTGACCCTCAGATCTCAGCCTCCTGAGTAGCTAGGATAAAAGGCATGAGCCACTGGTAGCTGGGCAGACTAAACAAATTTTGAGGCTAAAGATACCCCAATGTGTAAGCTTAAGATCTCAGTGTTTTTTTTGTCTTAGTGATTTTTTTTTTTTTGGGTCCAGTCGTGGGGCCTGAACTCTGGACCTGGGCACTGTCCCTCAGCTCTTCAGCTCAAGGCTAGCACTCTACCACTTGAGCCACAGCACCGCTTCTGGCTTTTTTCTTTTTTCTTATGTGGTGCTGAGGAATCGAACTCAGGGCCTCATGCATGCAAGGCAAGCGCTCTACCACTGAGCCACCTTCCCAGCTCCTTGTCTTAGTGATTTTTGAACGTGTCTTACCTAGTCATATGTGTAACTTCATACATCCACACACATATATAGCAACTGTCTTTTTTGGCGGTACTACTGCTTGAACTTGGGCCCTTGTGCTTACTGGGCTGGTGCTCTACCTCTTGAGCCATACTTCCCAGACCAGCTTTGTGCTGGCCATTTTGGAGATGAAGTTTCAGCCTCCAGATCAATTACAATCCTCCAGATCTTGAGTAACTAGATTTATAGACCATCAGGCAACTTTTCAACATCCCAATAATCCAAAACCTTTTTGGACTTCTAATATATTACATATATTCACCCTCAAACCCTTGCTCTAGGGGTAATAAGCCTTTATTCCACTTGAACCATGTTAGGATAAATACCTGTAGAATTAAAATAGGAAACACACAGGAGAGGCTGCAATAGTAAAAAAATAAAAATGAAGTGATAAATACAAACATGTATTTATGTATATATACATAACATGTAAAGACTAAAACTACAGTGAGAATTTGAAATAAATATGAGTTGGAACATGGCTTTTTGAAGCTGGCTAATTTTATTGGCTAATTGAAACACAATGCAAAACAAGCATACTGTACAAATGAATTATAAGACTAGGGTGATTGGAGAGACTATACTATAATAAATACATTGCTCTTTTTGGTGGCACATGCTTTTAGTCTCAGCACCCAAGGACCTGAAGTAGGACAATCATGAGCTCAAAGCAAGTGTGGGCTGTACTGTGAGACTCCATCTCAAAACTTCACTGCTATAAAATAACTAATAAAAGATTTAACTGTGATTAAATGGAATAGCTTATATGCTACAGTCAAATTTTCATTCATATCAACAAAATGATTCAAAGTACACAAAAACAGAGAACTAAAGGAAAAACAGTTCTACATAGCAGGAGATTTTTAACATCATTTTCTCAATAATCAATAAAACAAGCCGAGAACATGTCACAACAGTTAGAACACATTAATGAACAAAATGCCCACTCATAAGATTTAAAGATATTTACATAGCACTGATCTCATAACCAGGAGAAAAAGTATTTGCTAGATCTGAATGTCTTCTTCTAAATTTTAGACTTTATAAATTAATAGTTAGTGTGACAGTATTAAGGGTTGGGAGCCAACAGTAAAGCTCAAAGGTCATCTTGACCCCTGTGCTCGCTTGAAGGCACTGGCTTACTTGAAAGACACCAACCAGCTGCCCGGGATTGCTTTGCTATGTCTGCAGTTTGTTTTACTTTCAACCAGTTGACCTTGTCTTGTTTTTATTGCAGTCTGTTTTTAACAGAAAGTTTCCTTGTTTTTCTGGACTATAGTAACCTTATGCTACTTCTTGACTTCTAACAGAATAAATCAGGGAAAGTTAAAAATAAACGGTGCTTTGTGGGGAAGCTAACCTTGGAGAGCTGAGCTGCCCGCCGGGCGCGGGCATCTGGAGCAGGTGACCTTCGGCCGAGTGCCAGTGGCTCAAGCTTGGGTCCCTGCTCCCATATAAAAAAAAAAAAAACGGTACTGCAGTCTTGAGCTGCAGACCTCCCGACGCCATCCTTTGCTCGTGTATTTTTTTTTTCTCATCCTCGCCCCCTAAATCAGGATTCCCTTTCATTGCTGGCAGGCTCTGGCAATTAAGAAGAGAGGTCCTAGCCGGGTACCGGTGGCTCACGCCTATAATACTAGCTACTCAGAAGGCTGAGATATGAGGATCACGGTTCAAAGCCAGCCCAGGCAGGAAAGTCCATGAGACTCTTCAATAAACTACTCAGAAAAATTCAGAAGTAGAGCTGTGGCTTATATGGTAGAGCACTTGTCTTGACAACAAAGAGGTTTAGGGACAGCGCCCAAGCCCTGAGTTCAAGCCCCAGGATAGGGGTGGGGAGAGTGGGGGGCTGGGAAGAGAGGTCCTGCCCATTGCTAATGGTGCATGCCTGCCATCCTCCCTATCCAAGAGACTCAGTTGTGACACATTCAGATCTCATAGATTTTAGTTGCTCAACAGTTGACATTATGTTGGAGGATGGAGAAAGACATCTTGTTCTTCTCTTCAGCTTCAGAAGACACATAACTGTGTGGTGGCAATTATTATCTGTCCATTTCAAAGGAGACACTTTTAGGCACAAGATCTACATTCTTTTACTGCAGTTGACATTGGATTATTTAGAAAGCTGGCATGGTAAAAGCAAATTTAAATAAAGGGGACTGCCATAAGTTCCCAACACACCAGCAACGGCATATTGCTATGTACTCCATGATACGATATTGCCTGTACCCTTCATGTTTGAGCCACTAAGACAGAATAATGACCATTCTCTAGAGACTACCAGAATCCATGGAAGTGTCCAGGAGGAACTCAGCATGGTGCCTTTGCCCAAGGGAGACAGTGCTGTTTTCCACTTTAGCATATTTAGGATGATTGTGATGTGGCAATATTTTTTATTTTTGGTGTTGGTCCTGGGGCTTGAACTCAGGGGTTGGGTGGTATCTTTGAGCTTTTTATTTTTATTTTTGCTCAAGGCTAGCACTCTACCACTTGAGCCATAGCTCCATTTCTGGCCTTTTGGTGATTAGCTGGAGATAGAATCTCATGGTCTTTCCTTCCTGGCTTTAAACCAGAACCCTTATATCTCAGCCTCCTGAGTAGCTGGGATTACTAGCACTGGTATCCAGCAATACATCTTTTACTATGTTCCAGTAGGGAACTTCCTTATCTTTTAAAACCTCATGTTAGGGCTAGGAAGGTGACTGAGTGGTAGAGTGCTTGCCTTACATGTATGAGGCCCTGGGTTTGATTCCTCAGCACCACATAAGCAAAAAAAAAGCCGGAAGTGGCGCTTTGGCTCCAGTGGTAGAGTGCTAGTCTTGAGCTGAAGAGTTGAGGGACAGCACCCAGGCCCAGAGTTCAGGCCCCATGACCAAAAAAAAAAAAAAGTTAAAACCTCATGTTATAGCAACTTCTTTCTAATTCTTTTTTTTGGTTATTGTTGGTCATGGGGCTTGAACTCTGGGCCTGGGCGCTGTCCCTAAGCTTTTCAGCTCAAGGCTAGCGCTCTACCACTTGAGCCACAGTGCCATTTCTGGTTTTCTGGTAGTTAACTGGAGATGAGAGTCTCATGGCCTTTCCTGCCCAGGCTGGCTTTGAACCGTGATCCTCAGATCTCAGCCTCATGAGTAGCTAGGATTACAGGCATGAGCCACTGGCAACCCGCTTCTTTCTAATTCTTTTCTATAAACATTCTCACTTATTATGGAGATATCGTATTTGTGTCCTGTATACAGTATGCTATTTTGCAAAATATTATTTAGGACACTGACTGAAAATTCCCATTTGTGTTTACAGATGACTCAAGGTAACAGTACATCTGGGACAGTGTTATTGTGAGTAACAACTTATTTGTTTATTTATTATTTGTTGGTCACGGGGCTTGAACTCAGGGCCTGGGCACATCCCTGAGCTTTAGAGGCAGCTCTCCGCCACCTTGAGCCACAGCTTCACTTCCTTGAATAACAACTTTATACAAATGGCTGTTTCATAAGCTGATAAAAATACAGTATCCACTAGTTGAGAGGATAGACACTCACCTGTCTGTTAAATGGCCATACATTAAGTTTCCCATCAACGTCCCGGTCAGCGTTAAGAATTTACTTATTGAATTCAGAGACTGAGAGTCACACACCAGGCCCCACTGAAAGAGAAGGAAATCAGCACAACAGGGCTTATAATCTCTCAGAGTAATCTGAGCAAAGCTTCCTAACATGACCTAAAGGTTCATGTTTCATCCGAGTACTCTCTTCCCACATCTATCAGTACTCCTTTTCAACATTACCCATCTTCTACCATCAGGTCTTAACTGAAACAGAACTTTCTCCGGGAAGCTGCCTTTAAACCTGTAGTGCTTGCCTAGCATGCATGAGGCCCTGGGTTTGATTCCTCATCACTACGTAAGCAGAAAAAGCTGGAAGTGGAGCTGTGGTCAAGTGGTAGAGTGCTAGCCTTGAGCTGAAGAACTGAGGGACAGCGCCCAGGCCCAGGCCCAGGGTTCAGGCCCATCACACACACACACACACACACACACACACACACACACACACACACACACACACACATACACACAAATGTGATCCTCAGATTTGAGCCTCCTGAGAGGCACTGGCAAGTGGCTAACAAGCTTTTAAACCCATACTAAGTTCTCTTTAAACTTGGCAACACACTGCATTCATTGTAGGGCCTTGAGGCATTAACTAAATCCCAAATATCACAGCTGACTGTCATATAAATGTACAAAGGATACAGTGTGGACATTACAGACTTGGCCAATCTCCAAGATACTTCTAATTTTCAATCAAAGTTGAATATTTACTGACTGGACATAACACTTGTAACAAAACACACGCATTGTTTGCTTACACCTTTGTCTTACCAAAAAATGAAAACAACATAAAATAGGAGTCTATCTACTGTCCAATTCACTAGACTCATTGAATATGGTTACTAACAATGTAATCAATATTGGCTGAAAGAAAGAAGATTTGCCTTAAAGTGTAGAAAGGACTTGTGTTATTTTTAAACACCCAAATCCTGAGCTTGCACATGAGAAATGAAGCTTCCTACCTTGGTCACGATGGTGGAGACGAAGGAGCTGTGGTCATACACCCAGCCGTCCACACAGGGCTCTGTTTCTGCCTCACTCAGGTTCCAGAAGGTGCTGTTCAGGTGGAGGAGCTGCCATTGGGGATGGACAAAGCGCCGGCACTTCTCTGGCCTGAGGTTGGAGTCGAGTGGGATGGAGATTCTCAGGAGGTCCTCCTGGCTGAGGAGCCCAGTGCCATTGTCAGAGAGCGTGTCATTGTCGAGGATGCGCACCCAGCAGCGGTGCTCAGGCACGGCTGCCGTGAAGTTCTCCAATGTGAGATGACAGAATGTTATGCTGCAGAAGACTGTAAGGAAAGCCAACTGAAGGATCTGGAATCTTCCCAGGCTGCCAACTTGATCCAGGATTTCCTGAAAAGCCATTGAACACAAATGATTACTCTCAATAGGAGACAAAATGATTAAATCTGTATACTCTCAAAAAAAAAAAAAAAGAAAAGAAAAGAAAGAAAGTGCCATTTCCATCAGATACACCACAGCAGGGCATAGAACGAGTGTGCCCTAGCGATTTGGCACCAGCTAGATAACTGCTGTTCTTAAAGCTATTCAAGAGAATTTTCTGCTGATTTGCCTTCTTTAAGAATGTGTTACCAGTCTGCTTTGTCAAAAATGTTATACCAGGTTATATGTCACATTCAACAGTGGACGTTGATCTCTAGGTTTGAGGAAAACAAGCCAGAGAAGCACTGCTACAAAGGATTGGATTTTCTTCAGTGGAAAGGAGAATTTCTATTTAAGGAGTTTCTAAATCAGTAAGAAGTAAGTACATATCTAACTTACTCTTCTATTATAAATGTCTTACATAAATCCATATTTACAAATATGTATATGTATGTTTTTATATATATTTATATGTTTATATATGTAGGTTCATATATACCTATAATTCCAAATGTGTATATGTAGGTTTAAATATGTGTAGGTTTATATAAATATATGTAGTAGGCTTATATATGTACATATGCATACATATGTGTGTATATAGCACATATCTGTGAGGATACATGATGTACAATGCAGTATGGAATGGAAGAACTAAAAATAAAATATGGGAGCAAAAGTCACATTGATGAGGACTAAACTATCTTCTAAAAATTATGCCTCCAAGGAAGTTTAGAATAAGCATTTTGTTGGTAAGTTCTAAATTTTATCAGAAGAACCCATGGAAAAAAAATCTCAAGTTGAATAAATGGAAGTGAGGTATGGTCTTCTCCTTTCCGGTTTATAACTGACTTTGTGCTGCTGGTTGAATTGTAGCAAAAATTCCCACTGAAACTGTTGCTGAGGGTGTGAAGAGCGGCTTGTGATGGACAGCGAGCTGAGTGCCAGCCTCACACAGTTTACTTTTTCTTCCTTCTACATAAGAATTGTGAGGATCTTTCTGTTCTAGTAGGAAAAATGCCGTAAGCTGAAAATGCTCTGTGACTCTGTGTGTGTTTGTGAGTTTGTGTGTCATGTGGGTACCACAACTTGAACTCAGGGCTTCATGCATTGTTTGGCTTTTTTCTTTACTACTGGTGCTCTAAAACTTCTAGTCTGGCCTTTTGCTGGTTTGTTGGAGATGGAATAGTACAATCTACTAGCCAGGCTTACACCTGTAACCCTAGCTACTCAGAAGGCTGAACCTCAGTAACCAGAATTACAGGTATGAACCTGGCTAAGACATGCTTTTGTTGGTTGTGGGACTTGAACTCAGGGCCTCGGGGTTGTTCCTGAGCTCTTTTGCTATGGCTAGCACTCTGATACTTTGAGCCACAGCACCACTTCTGGTTTTCTGGTGGTTTGTTGGAGATGATAGTCTCATGTACTTTCCTGCACTGGCTGGCTTTGAACCATGATTCTCAGATCTTAATCTCCTGAGTAGCTAGGATTACAGGTGTGAGCCTTAGGCCAGTGCCTGGTCTAAGACATGTTTTAAGGAGTTTCTGTGGCAGTGAGAAAGAAGTACATCAATAATTATACTCTTCTATATAAATTGTTTGCATAAATCTGTATGTATGTGTATTTATATGCTGGATATCTCTGTGGTTATATATGCATACATAATATTACATTCATGCATTAGTTATAATAGACTTCTATATGTATAGTTATTATATATATATAATATGTATATATATATATATATATATATATATATATATATAAATTTCCCAAAGACTCCATCTGCTTCCACTTTTCCTGGCATCCTCCCTTAAGCTGGCTTTCCCTGTGTGAGCCCTCAACCACCTGTTGATCAGAGGATACACTGAATTTTGTCTGTCAGCCATCTGCCATGTTCCTGACACTTGACTGGCTACCTTTGGGATAGACTCTCATTAACTTTTTGACTCAGATTGGCCTCAAACTAGGATTAGTGCACTCTCAGCCTGCATATTAGTTTGGACTACAGGTGTGAGCCACTGGTACCCAGCTTACAGATTATTTTTTTTAACAAAAAGTAGAAGTGCTGGCTTAAAACTTTAGAACTTAGGTCATGAACACACCTGTGGCTAATATATTAGAAGCTTTCTCCCTCTGTCTCTCTGTCTCTGCCTTGCATGGATAATTATATTGAGTATATCCCTTAGGAGAAATCCTCATGGTCTGTGTATATACTAGCCAATGAGGGCTTTGTGCAGGAAATAAATGCTATGGCACTAGTGAAGCCTTTATATAACTATCTTCTGCTAAGAGCTTCGTAGGAATTCTCAATGCACAGAAACCATGTGAGATAATACAAAATGCTTGCTTTTTAGATGATTTGTTTTTGTTTTTGTTTTTGTCGGTAGTGGGGTCTGAACTTTGGGCCTGGGCACTGTCCCTCAGCTCTTCAGCTCAAGGCTAGCGCTCTACCACTTGAGTTGCAGCACCACTTCCGGCTTTGTCAGATGATTTGTAGCTAAGTTGGAATTTGATCTCAGCAATGAGGTACTATCATAATAAACATTAAAAAGTATTTACAATTCAATGATGAAATAGACAAAAGGCAAGAACATAAGGTTTCCAAGAAAATAGACATATGATCAAGAAAACCCATATGAAGTCATTAAAAATTAAAGCTACATAATAAGCTGGAATGTAATTGCTTAAGCTTTCCTGAAGACTAAATGTGCTAATTTTCAATGAGAGGATATCAAGGAAAGGGCAGCAATGAGAGGGTTATGAGAGGGCAATAAAACCAACATTGATTACCTGATGTTGAGATTACCAAAAGATACATGCTACAAGCTCTTGAAAACACAAAATGGTGTTATTATCAGAAACTTTAAACTGTTTAATTCAATGAGCAATCGTTCTACATGAGGAGTGAAACAACAGAAAAATAATGCAGACAAAGGCATTAAATAATGTGTGCAGATGTGTGACATGACAATTTTAGTTTCTACCAGCAACAAAACTTTATTTTGGGCTTCCTTTTCAGTCCAGATTGGTGGGAATGCAAATTGATTAGTTTGGTAGATTATTTCTGCAGCTCTTTTACAAGCAAAGACATATGGATTCCAGAGACAGCAAGAGACAGGATGGTGTAAGACGAATGCCATTGTCATCAGCTCTCTGGTTAGAAATTTCCAGAAAACTTACTTGAAATTTAGTTCTGCCTGCTCAGCTCTTAGCAATTACACTGCTTGAAGTCCTCTGCTTCTGTTGAAGTTGAATACTCTGGTACTCAATTTATGTACCCTGTAAGCTTTAGCTTTTGACAAAAAAAAAAACAACAAAAAAAAGACGACGACGATGAAAAAAAACAAAACAAAATAACCTCATGGGCTGGGAAGTTGGCTCAATGGTAGAGTGCTTGCCTTCCATGCATGAGGCCCTGGGTTCAATTCCTCAGCACCACATAAGCAGAAAAAAAAGCTGGAAGTGGTGCTGTGTGGCTCAAGTGGTAGAGTGCTAGCCTTGAGCTGAAGAGCTGAGGGACAGCGCCCAGACCCAGAGTTCAGGCCCCACGACCAGACCCCCCCCCCAAAAAAAAAAAAAACAAAAACCAAAAAGATGACGATGAAGTAATGTGGAATGTAGAAGAGAGACAAAGGGAGACGGGCCCTGGTAGCTCAGGCCTGTAATCCTAGCTACTCAGGAGGCTGATATCTGAGGATCTCTGTTCAAAGCCACACTGGGCAGGAAAGTTTGTGAGATTCCAGAGAGTTCCGGGAAGATGGCGGAGGAGAAGCTGGAGTCTAAACAAGCTCTTGCATAGAAAGCAGTTTTAGAGTTCCAGTGAACAGTCCTAAGCCAGAGAATCACACCAAGTGTGCCATCACAGGACAGAGAGTTAGGCCAGAGAGGGAAAATCCAGGCAAGGAGACACATCTGAGCTCTTGCCAGCAGCCGTCATGGCGGCGGCAGCAGTGGCGGCAGCGAGCCATACCTGAGCCACAGAGAGTCCGGGACCAGACACAGCGGGCGAGCAGATTCTACTCAACACCAGCAAGAACCGACAAGGAGCGGACATCTTCATCCTGCAGTTCGCAGACCAGAGACGACCCAGGAACCAAGATTCAGCATGAGTAGAAGCCTGACGTCCTCACTCCTCAGGGAGCAGAGGAGGGAAGGCCACCCCTTCCCCCCAGTACCGGAGATCTCCATCTTGGATACCGACAAAGCTCAGCAGAGCTGCTAGCTCCAACTCAAGCCTTGGAATAAAACGAGTCATTTAGCAGATCACAAGAATTTAACAGTGGCGTGACCTGCCAGACTCAGCTCCACCCAGGGAAAAGTCACCCAGCTCGGGCACCAGCCCTAGGAGTGGCTTTCTTCACTGGGTAATCAGAGCCAGAGGCTGCCCCTCCCTCTAGCAGCCTTGACAATCAATTGAAATTCAGTAAACAGAAACCCTGAGAATGGCTTCAGGCTGGGCTCTGTGAGTTTCTCACAAACTAGCCCCCGGAGAAAAGCTACTGTTTGTTGAAAGGCCTCAACTCTACCCAGAACCTAGCTTCATCACTGCATCCCCCTCTTTTGTGATACTCAAAGCAGATCTGCCTCCCATTGAACTAGCCTGGGAGGAGGATCGCCAAATCCTGGGTAAAGCAGAGCATTTTTCTGTCTGTTCGAACAAACTGACTTAAGAAACCAACCAAGCCACAGGACCACAAGCAGACCAGAGTCTCCAAGAGGCTGGTTATGGACACAAGGTAGATACAGGATTTTTCCCATCCCTCCCAAAAAAATCAAAGAACTTTTCTACTTTTCTTCCTTCTTCCTTCTTCCTTCTTCTTCTTCTTCTTCTTCTTCTTCTTCTTCTTCTTCTTCTTCTTCTTCTTCTTCTTCTTCTTCTTCTTCTTCTTCTTCTTCTTCTTCTTCTTCTTCTTCTTCTTCTTCTTCTTCTTCTTCTTCTTCTTCTTCTTTTTCTTCTTCTTCTTCTCCTTATATAAAAATTTTTTTTTCTTTTCTAAAACTTTTTTAAATCTTTAATTTTTGCCTTTTTTGAAAAAAAATTGTTTTCCAGTAACTTTTTTTTCCTCTTATAATTTTTATTTTAGGGATACGTGAGTGTGCATTTTTCTTTCTTTTTTTGTTTTCTTTCTCTTTTTTTCTTTTTTAATTATCTTTTTGTTTTTTGTTTAGCTCTACTGAACTTCTGATCTTTTTTTCTTCCTTTCTTATCCTTTTCACCTTTTCCTCTCTTTTGTTCTTCTTTATGTGACTTAATTCTTGTCCTGCACATCCTCAGATAAACCCGTAGTTGACTATTAGACCCTATCCCCCATTGTGTACACACTTAATCCACAAATTTATTACTCAATTCAAAACCTCTGAGACTTAAATTCCTT